TACTTTGGCAATACGCCAATTCTCCACTCATTCGCCTTGGATCGTCCCTACAAGTATATATTGATTTTATTCCATTTTATAGTATTTTACGAACGAAAAAGGAAACTTCCTGCAAATAGTAAGAACAAACAGCAAACAAAGTATAAAAACAGTCAAAACAAAACAACAGTGTATTGTATATTTTATGATAGCAAGTAGGCTCCTAGTGTTGGAAGATTCTTTCAAGCAAGACGGTTTTATCACGAATATCTGGTCCCCTACAGGCCCATGGATTGAAAACAATATATCAGACGAATTTTTTGATGGATAATTCCTTCACCTATATATTTTCTCTCCGTGCTCTTCATCCGATCACTTGAACTGGGACGCGCCGATTATAGCACTCGATAGAAAAAGGCTGTAAGAGAATTATGGCAAAGTACGGCATTTAATAATGAAGTTATTAAAGGTTTTAATTTTCTAAACTGACTTTTATTAAAAAGTATTGCATAGTGTGACAAGTTTAAAAACGAGATGCTTCTCCTTGCATCCGCTCTGACCGTTCGGATCCTTCGATGAAGTTTGTTCTTGGTGGCGAAAAGACTTCATCTCAACGATGTCCAGCCAACAGCTAGCGGTGTGCACCATTGCCATGTCTTGCATGCAGACCTGTTAGTCGATGGGGCCATTTTGCCCATGGAGAAGGGAGTACGTATTTGACGCAGACTGTAGACCGTTCGTGCAGGGCGCGAAATAGATAGTGTACTGCGCGTCACTCCGCTTTCCTCATGCACTCTCACCGCCTTTTCGTCTGCTCTTTCGTAATCATGAACAATCTTGTATGGATCTGCATTCCGCGCTTTAAAGTGCTACTCGGGTGAAACGAAACATTGCGAAGATCTTCTCGTTAAGTTTGGGGAAGAAGGATGCCTAGTATATGATACAGTATACTACATTGTTAACATAGGTTATTATCCTATGTAATAAATATAAGAATAATAATTTGCGGCACATCAAGGGCTGCATCTGACTCCTACCTGTGCTACGTTCAAAAGATTATACAGCAAGATCCAATCTATGCAAAGATGCAGCAACTTTTGAACGAGAGCAAAGCCAGGACATGGGCTGCGTTGTAAGGGTGCAGGTAATACAAGCACGCAAAAACTAAACGGAATTGAGGAATTAGGGAAACTAGAAACTAAGGAATTCCTTTTTTTTTGTGAGAAGAGTTTCGAAGCACGTTCATCCCTATATGTACTCACGGTTTCTTTGAACGAAGTTGGGGAGGCTAAAACGAACTTCCGCCGAATGGGTTGAATGTTGGTCATTTTGCACTCTACTAAATCGGTGGGCTTATCTGGTATAGGGCATTTGCAAAATCGTGACGACGGCGCGACCGCGCGCGACACGCACGCACTTTCTAAAACCGTATTTTCCTGGTTCTTCATCTCTACTTGGATGATATTCTGTTTATGCTTGAGAGTATCTAGAGACTGGAGGTGACTGAGCTGAGCGTTGAGGTGGCACGAGTGTCTTGTGCTCCTGTGGGCGCAAAGACCGCAGTAAAATCCGTCGTCACGATGTCAAAAATGACTTTGAACCGTGTCAATAGACAGAAGAGTTCAAATGCAATGCTAATGTAATGGTTTCATAATGAACTTCCTTCCTCACACTTCTTGACGGACACATCAACTTGCACCCTGAAAATGCTGTCGGATCATCATAGAGATGTGAAATCATCAGTCTCATTGCATAGTTCAAATAAGTGCGAGCGTACGCCTTCGACAGAACCAAGTTCGTACGCCTTCGACAGAACCAAGTTTGACATAATGGCGATTTCTATCAATACCGGTGGTTTAGGTTTGGATTTAATTGGAATTAAGCAAAAACTTTGCTCTAGTCATTCACAATAAGTATTGTTGTCCCAGCATCATCTGATTTTACTGGACCTTCACTGGAATTAAGCACTGGAGTCAAAGTCGACCTGCACGAAAAATCGGCCGTATCCCTGTAGGCTGAAAGCCCGGGAGGGTGGCGCGCGCAGCCGCCGACTGCATAAGTCATCAAGCGCCAATGCTAAACGTAGCCCGCAGGCCACTGATCTAGCCGTGCGCCAAACGCGCTCGCGCGGTTCAGCTTACAGCGATAAGGGCGATTTCATGTAAGCGACCACACAAGCGAGTGACCGCGTGCATCGCATAGGGCAAACCAAAGATGTATGCATACACAAATAGGTGGTGACGTCCGCAATGCTTTTTATGCTTTGCGAGACATCAGACCGCCTCAAATCTCCAGTATCATAACCAGCCTGCACCAGGTAATTAGAAGCCACGCAAGCCGTCTGAATCCACAAGCCATTTTATGTTTCATTTTGTGACTAGGAGATTTGAAACCGTTTTACACACACTATCAAAACAAGCTTATCGTGTGGTTTACAAGTTTATACTTGTGGTCCGTCTTCTCTACAAATATTTGCTATTTGGAGACAGGAAATGACAAGTTCCAGCTCACTTAGGCAGTGTGCGAGAAGCGTTTCGAGTCTCATATTGTTATTCACAGATTTAATGATACACTGATAAGTATATGTGCATTGCAAAGCGAGCGCGGTATATAGTCTTTTTCAACCCGGAGTAGTCGAAACAATCCAAGTGGAGCGCCGCGTCCGCACCGCGTTGGCTCAGCGAGATAGATTAGAACGAGGAGACGCAGACTGCAAAGCGGCGCAAACCGTTGCGAGGCGGTCTCCCGCCAATCCAATTTCCGCCTAAATCAAGTTGGAACCTACTATACCATGTGTGCATTTGGCGGCTTCGAGCGGGTTCAAGCGGCTTTGGGACGCCGAGTTATGGACAGGCGGGTTGCGGCGAATACAGGCGGGATCGGGCGCGGTCCAAAGCTTTCTCCTGTCTTTGTAAACACAGTCTAGGATCCTCTCTTCAATTAAAACATCTATATGATCGCGCATTTTCTCCTTTTGTAGGCTCAAAAACTCCATGGAAGGACGGGCGGGTGCTGGAACTCCACAGAGAGAAGATGGAAATTTGGCAGTTTGTTGCGAGAATTTGCTTGTATCTGCTAATCCACAGTTATGCTTTGTGTATGTAAAATATCTTCCGAAACTCTATCAAAGAAGGCTATGAATCTAACGATGGCCGATTCTTTATAGATCTAGACGGTCTGAAAAAAAATCACAATAATCGAAGAGAGTGCATTTTGTTACTTTTTTTCGCACGAATGGTCGCCGTTCTATCACACTGTTGTTGTGCATAAATTCGGCTCCATGTCAGGAGTCACGCCGCGCACCGCGCCGCTTCGCCGCGAACGTCGCGTTTAAATTTTGTACCCCACAAAACTGCCCGATGCTAAAGTGGCACGGCGCCAGTCTAGGGTGGTGGGGGGTGGGGGCAGATACATGGCTCGTGTCATAAGTAAGACGGCGCCACGATTGCTGGCTTCTGTTTTGCTGACATCGCTTGCGGCACCGCTTCGCGAAAAATTCGCGCCGACCGTGACTCCTGACCGTTCCCCCATAAATTCGGATCTACTCAGTCATTTTACGCCGATTGTTTTACGTCTTATGTGGCTGTGAGCTCTTCTGTTGTGATGTGAATTTTATCACCTAACAACTCAGTCAAGCACTTCTTGTGAATTTCTACTGTGATTCAGTACTACTTTGATATCGGCAATTGAATTTGTTTAAAAAAATTTCTCACTCGTTTTCTTGGCTTATCCATTCTCTAGCGGCCGTACCGCTTGAGGGGTGGGGGACATTAGGTCGCCGGTCCCGCCGAACATCTGCAACATATACACATTCCAATGCATGCACAGGCTTAGTATCTGCTGCCTTATCCGCGTGGGACCTCCACACTTTCGGCGACCTAATGTCCTCCACCCCCGCTTGAGTTTCTGAATTTGTCCAATCAGATCGCTACGCAATGCCTAGGCGTTGCGGATGCGCAGTCCCCAAGCGAAATGGACTTCAATATAAGACAGATGGTGTATATACTTTGTGTCAACCACATCCTTCCAATGGGAAAAGAAACCATTAGAATCTAGCAGCATAACTCACTGTATTCATAAATGTCCAACACGCAGATCAGCTGTGCATTTGAGGTCAATAGTCAAATGACTTCCTCGAACACTTTTCGGGCAAGTCAGCTGACTGTCGATACAATTTAGCTACAAAAGCACTCAAAGTATCCCTATGAAAATCCTATCAGTGCAAATTGGGTGTGCTCGTATTCTGCAGGCCATCAATACCTCGCGCTAAACTCCACACGTTTCTAAAACGCAAAAATCTTGGATATTGGCTCAATATCGAGTAATTTCACCACTTCCTTCCCTAGACTATTTGCAACAGAGACATGTTTCACGATCTATCCGTGACCCTGACATAGCCAGCGCTTCCTTCGTCCTTTATCTTGTTTTATGTGTAGTTCCTGCTCTGTGCTGACGTGTATAAGAGACGTCAGAGTAGGCAGAGACGTAGAGGGGCTGTGTTTCTCTCGCTCTATTGTCGAAATAGTGCGCCATCGCTGACGGCTTCCATTGTTCTCATGTTTGGTAAATATGAAATCGCTAGTGCTTAGAAGTCTTTCGGAGGAGGTCGTCCCAGCCATACAGGTCTATAAAATTGCTTTTCACTTTTGCAAGAATGGGGCTTCATCCTCTGGCTCCTCCGTTATTTCTGCTTTCTTTATCTCGAGTTTCCTTTCTGGGATTGGTAAGAGAAAGGACGAGCTTTGTAATCGACTCTGCGCAGAATCAGAGATTTCCATGCTAATTATTATAAGAACTTTTTCTTCTTCCCAGACCGATTTCGTCACTTTGTGGTTGTTGGTTGTCATAGTTGTCAAATCGCATTGGTGCACCGCGATTAGGGACTGAATAATGTGCGACTGCAGTCTTTGCTCTTTTTTACCATTTTTTCGGACTGATCAGGTCTTGCATCATTTTGATGACTTATCTTCTCTTATTTACCAAACGATATCGCTTTGTAACTGCAAGTTACCCGGAACAACCGATGATATACTTCCATTTTAGGTGACAGTGTTTACAGTGCGGATTTCTCGAAAGGACTAACATAGGATCTTGATATTTGTGAAGTTTTACCTTATATGATGCATCCCCTTGACGGAGGGAGTCCAGTTTTATACCACTTGTTAACGTTATGTTTTAGTAAGTTTATTCAATAAATCTATTATGAGCTAACGCTCAATATGTTCATTTCAGGTGCAATATATTGTAGTGCCTCGGAAGTAGATAAACATCTTGAACTCGGTAAAGCATTTCTTGCTAAAGTAAGGCCTTTTGTAATCACTCTATACATCATTTTCACGCTTTTCAATGGTTCATGAATTAAGGGGCAATTTTCTGATGCTCTTACGCATTATCATGCTGCGATAGAACTCGATCCTACGAATTATCTCACACTTTACCGAAGGGCCACCGTCTATCTTGCCATGGGTAAGAGTAAGCAGGCCGTCCCAGATCTCGATAGAGTCGTCGAACTCAAGCATGATTTCACGGCGGTGAGTTTTTATTTTCACCTTCTATTGTTTTCAAGTTTTAAGGGATTAGTTTGAAGAGTGCTACTTGCTACTGCCTCTTTAAACATAAAAATGCCCTTACCATGTTTTTGAGTTTTGTTGTTGTACAAGGCACTCGCTTTCCCACTACTAGTTTCCTCGTCGTTTCGATTCTTGAGATTTGGCAATTTTCTGCTTTCTTCCGTCGGGATTTTGATTGCGAAAAATTATGAAATTTTTTGACACGTTTTCGACCGGCTAAGTTTTCATTGACAGACATCGTTCTTTCACATCGGTGTACCTTTGCAATACGAACAGCTTTGTGCATGAGACAACAATCATTGTCCTGGTCTTCAATGCGTCTATCATTTCAATATTATCTAACCCACGCTTTCATAAATTCGGCTTGCAATGAGAGAACTTCTGCAGTACTTTGCTGCTTATGAATCGGTAATTAATTATAATTTTCATGCGATGGCTTGCCGTTTCTCGCTCTTGTATTTTGCGAGGCATGTAGTTGCGTTTGTCTCCCAAGAAATTGGGCTACAGAACAGCAAATAAAGTTGTTGAAAGGATGTTTTGTTGGTAAACTAGATTTGTGACTGTTAGTTATCAGAATGTTTTCGGACATCTTCGGTGGAGTGAAAATCGTTATAAGAACAGTTGAGAAACGCGGTTCTTGCTCCATCTTTTACAAAATCCTAAGTTTAGACTCTTGATTTATATCGTAGAACCTTCGTTTTGAAATCCCTGTCGGTTGTCGCTCATAGTCATGTTTAAGTGTAGTGTCGAATTAGAAATTTTGAGAATTTTCATTGATTATACTTCAACATTCCCTTTCAGGCGCGAATACAACGGGGGAACGTCTTGTTTAAACAAGGTGAAATTGATCTAGCAGAAAACGATTTTCATGCTGTGGTAAGTTCTAGATATAGTTCATAACTTTGCCTTACCATTTTCTCCTTCGTTTAGTTAGCGGTGGAACCTTCAAATAGTGAAGTATCGGCTAAATTAGACAACATTGCTGACCTTCGGCAGTATATTCACCAAGCGAAATCGTTTTACGATCATAACGATTTGCATTCCGCTGAATACTACCTGAATAAAGCATTAGAGGTTTGATAAGTGCTTTCTCGTTTTTCTCATTTTAAAACGTCACATGTTGCATTTCAGCATCTTGTCTGGGATCCATCATTATACCGGTTACGTGCGAAGTGCTTGGAAGCACGAGGTGAAATCCGCAAATCGATAGCTGACATGCGAACGCTTACAAAATTGGTAGCTGATAGTACAGATGACATTTTAAAGATTTCCCAACTCTACTATGGAATAGGAGATGTTGAAGAATCACTTTCGTAAGTTTTGCAGCATATTTTTACAGCGTATTTTATGATAATATGTCAACTGAACTTGTTTAGTCAAATCCGAGAGTGCCTTAAGTTGAATCCTGATCATAAAGAATGCTTCCCATTTTACAAAAGAGTTAAAAAACTCGCCAAAATGCGAGGTAAGTCTTTGCTGCGCATGTTTGCATGGGATATTATTTTAATGTCATTCTAGAATCTTTGAATGATGCCAAACAAAGAGAAGACTGGATGGCTTGTCTTGAGAAAGGCCAACAAATTTTGAAATTCGAAAGCAAGGTGCTGCCTATCCAAATGGATACTTTCCGGCATTTGTGCAAGTGCAATATGGAGGTGGGGAGAATTTTCTTTTATCATAATTTCTTCGCGTTTTATTGCTGCATCCTAGGCGGGTCACATCGCTGAAGCGATACAACAATGCACTGAGGTGTTGACAAGTAGCGATGAAAATGATGTGGACGTTCTTTGCGACAGAGCTGAGGCGTATCTGTTGGATGAACGATATGACGAAGGTATTTTGTTTACGTCGAATCTATGGTTTTGATCATAATCAGTTAGAAAGTACTGTTGTGTATCCTTTACAGCTATCGAGGACTTCCAAAAAGCTCAGAAAGTAAATGAAGAATCGAGGCGTGCTCGCGAAGGTTTGGACAAGGCGCAAAAATTGAAGAAACAGGCTGGAAAGCGAGATTATTACAAGATCCTTGGAGTGAAAAGGTTCGGTTTGATACTTTCGTTTATTGACACTTTACATCATAGTTTGTTTTTGGAAATTCATCCACATTTAACATCTTAGCATCACTGACAGCTATGCGTTGGTAGATTTGTGTGACATTGTCTGCTCATCTATCTTCTCCTACTTCAAAGAGATTAGAGGAATAGTTATTAAGGATTCTTCAATGTTTAGAAATGCTAGTAAACGCGACATTACGAAGGCGTATCGAAAAATGGCGCAAAAATGGCATCCTGACAATTTCAATGATGCTGCTGAGAAGAAGAAGGCTGAGGCAAAGTTCATCGACATTGCAGCGGCCAAGGAAGTATTGTCTGATGACGGTAAGCAGATGCGCTTACTTGTTTTTACAATACCAGAAACATTGACTTTTCAGAGAAACGTGCCCAATATGACCAAGGAATCGATCCCCTTGACCCAGAGGCACAACAACAGCCGCACTTCCATCATGGGTACGTTCTGCAAAATTTCATGTATCGTTCATTCGTTGACCGTACGGACTGCCGACCGCGTGGCGACTGCGACGCGTGCCTTCTAAACTTGCGAAAAAGTGACAAGTTGGACCGTGGCTTAAGATGAGAAGAATTCTTTGTTTCTTTTCTACATTATAAAGATGAGAAGAATCCTCTGTTTTCTTTCTATTCATCTTTTCTACGAAAACATCATGCACGCGCAGCGGTCGCCGCGCGGTCAGCAGTCGTTACGGTCAACGAATAAACGATAGCAGATTTGTTGGATGAATGCCTGTTTTGCGCGTTTTGCTCTTTTTTTTCATTTATCACGTAATTTCCTTTTCTTTTCCAGATTCCCCGGAGGTTTCATGTTCCGGGAAGGCGGCGGACCATTCAGTTTCAAGTTCAACTTCTAACTCTAGTCAGGGGATTCTCTATCTTCGGGGTCTCAGCTGTGATCAAGTTATATACATAACATGAAATTACGTGTGATACGTTACACCGACGTAGTTCGCCGTCGAGCCATAGTAATGACTGTTGTCATTTATGGCACATCGCCTTGCTTTATTCTCTTTTATTCTCTTTGGTTTTCTTTGTAATAATTTTGCTTCTTTTACATGTCAACTCTTGGCTTTCAGTTTCAGCGCATACTCATCGTATGCAAATCTTCTATTTTTGTGCCTTCTATGCTCTTCTAAGTACCTAACGTAGAGGATTTTTTGAACTATGAACTAACTCACGGCGGTAGTCAGTATGTTTTACGATTTGAGATATTAGGAGTACGGGCTAGTCCAAATTCAAAGAAAATGGCATACATGTGAATTGCGCTGATTTTGTCTTCGTGTATGTTTTATGAACATTTTATTTTTATTCGAAAATGGGTATATTTCGCGTTTGTCCTTTGACCTAATGCGACGTAATTGATTTTGCTCTCTGGTATCATCTGTACGGCGTTTTCGACCCCCTACCGATAAAGGTTCGATAACAGCAGCATATTGGTCCTTTTTGAGTTAGCGTCTTGGCTGTAGACAGCGATGTGTCTTCCTTCACTTCATCGCCGAATTTTCACTAGCTTTGTTCACATGATAAAGTTTGATAAGTTTATATGTTTTCACACTATGGCAATTCCTCATTTCCCAGAGTGTCATCGTATTGTTATGTTTCTAATCGCTTTGCCACATGCGTCGGAATCGGTAATAAAATGGTTTTCTTCTAGCTGTTCGTTGATTCGAATAAAAGGTGTAATTCCGGAATTTTTATTCACGTAATAAGTTGGTGTCTGTATATCTCAGTCTTGTTACAGCAATCATCTGCTTTGCTTTGATTGGGAATTTATCTGCTTGAAATTATTTCATTCCAGTTTAGCATCAGCCCTGTCGAGTTATTGCAATTCCGACGTATTTGCTTTGATTTTCGAGCATCTGATCTGATTTGTAGCACAGACTAATAGACTCCGTCTAAAAAACAAATTTGGTGACGGAAACCCGCTCACCGAGATAAATATAAAATTCACTATGGTCACCAGTTGATCACGCCACTACACACGAGTTTGAGAAACACTAATAAGTGCATTTCTGTCAAGAATAATCTGTCAATCGTCGAAATCGGAATGAAATGGGAGTCGCTGTTTCTTAAGGAACGCCATCTTTCTCTTTTATCATGCATGTAACCATCATTTTACTGAGGGTAATGCTGACTGACTAACATTTTTCTATGTATCAAGCGACAAATTGTTGATTTTGCTCATCTTTGCTGTATGTACACTCTGACTAATCAAATTAATCAATATTTTGAGGTGCCTGTTGCATATAGGGCTGAACAGGTTTCTCACCTTTTTACAAGGCCCATGTAGGTGAGAACTCGAAGCTTAGAAATTGCCGTTGTTGAAAAGTGTAGAAAATATTTTGTCGTCATTATCGTCAAAGATCGCTTTTACGCCTCAATTATAAACCAGTTTTCTGTCTGAGGTTTCGTTAAGGACTGCTAATGTGGTCTTCCTACAAATGATTCGCAGCACCCCTTCATCCTTTCGCCTTTCTCCTTCTTTTAGTGCTCTTTCTCATTCATTCCAGCCTTCAAAACATCTTCGTTCTGTTTTTCATATCCTTTCTAGTCTGTACAACTGATGGCAATAGAGTATTTTTGCGTTGCTGACAACAGTGCGTAGAGTTTATCAGTGTGCGCTCTAGAAATACCCGCAAGTCATAAGCAGGCTATCGGCATTTGTTTCCGCGCAGATATTGCCGTCACCGCAAGGGCACTATATCAACCGCAACTACGATGGTGTGCACATCATGATGTTGAAAATTTTCTTTGCAGTTTAACGCCATAACTAATATGATTTTGTAAAAATCTATATGATTCTGATCTCACAACGTCAACTATGAGGTACATTATTTCTGTTGATATTGGCACGACTACGATTCGAGCATGTTTGTATGACGAAAGATGTCGGCTGGTTGAGACAGCTTCGGACAAGGTGCGAGAATTTTTCCAAGTGTTTTTTTAAGCCGAAACTGAATTTCAGATCCACATCGAACTTTCTGGTCTGAAAGAAGAAGTTCGGGTGGAAATTGATCCAGATATGTTGTTCCGGCAGTTTATCGCAGTTGTCGCCAGCGTACGTAAGTAAGCAGTCATTTAGTTTTGGTCTATAAAAATTGTCTAGTATCATCAAATCAAAGAAAAATTGTTTTTTTCATAATATCTTATTTAGTGCAACATTGTAAAAGTACTGACAAAGTATCGCTAGCGCTCTGCACTCAAAGAAATTCGTTTTTATGTTGGAACAAGTTAGTTTTTCGGCTTTACTAGCTCTGGTCGCACGTCAGTAAGAGCTTCTCATTTAGAATTACGAACGAAACCCTAACGAAAATCATTTGTTGGAGTGATGGTAGAGCTAGAGCTACGTGTACACAATGGAATAAATCTTTTACTATAAAGGTGAGTGAAGAAAAGATGACGGAACTATTGGCTAGAACTTGGCATTGGAAAAAAACTAGTCAAAATATTTTCTTGCGCAATTCTTTACATTATCGTGGAAATAACTGCGTTAAGTACACCAATGAAGAAAGCGACCTTCACAAGTAAACAAAAAATCCACTGAAAAAGTTTCGTGTGTACTTTTCTATATTTATTATATTTACCAGCGTTCACAATGAATCTTACTTGCTCTGGTATGTGAAACTTGATTCATCAGTGAGTCGTAATTCTGAAGTGACTTTACCAGCTTATGCCGTATTCTTTGAAAAAGCTGGTTCGTTATTACAAATACATAAAAACTGTTATGCATAATTCGTAATTCTGACACCGTATGTTAGCCAGTCAACCGTTCACTTGAAAGCTTTTCTTGCAAACTTTAGCTTGCATCGAGTTGCGCGGATACGCATGCAAAATCTGACAAGGGAAGGATACTCAATCGCAGTGGGTGTATGTCAAGAGGCGCGATTTTTGTTGCCAGCTGGACAGCAAATAGCACATATTTGATGTTTTATAAGGTTCTGGGAGTATTTTAGAGTTTAGGAGAGATATATTAGATGGTTGCACGAGTTTTCCAGTCTTACTATTTCAAAAGCGATTCAAAATGAAAATTTTGAAGGTCAAAAACTCATAAAAATGCAATTAATAACAAATTTGTATTTATTTTGGTCGGATTTCCAGCGAAAGCCTCCAAACTCAGCAGGTAGTAACTTTAGATAACTAGTAAACCAATGTACTTTGTCTGGTGCTTTTTGAAGACTTGCGTAGCCCTAAACTTGAGTTTTGAGTTGGTGACACCCAGAGAAATCGCGCCTCTTGACCGTCTCCCAATCGCAGTGACGATTGGGTAAGCGGTGTATACCGCGTATACCGTCCCCAGACGGTGATCTTTTAAGCGCATTCCATATCTGCTATGACGTCATTCTGGAGGATTTATAAAGGATTTATGATGCAGTTGATAGTGGCTTGGACTGTGGAGCTGGACGTCGTGGGTTCGATTCCTCTGGGATGCCACCCATTTGCATTTTTGTAAATTTTAGCAAGCAGGTTGCAAAACCTGTCAACATTTAAAAAAATTGATTTTTACAATATGAAGCAATATATGTACAATTATTGGCACTGTACCATCGTTTAACCTAAAAACAATCGTTTTTAGCCTTTTTCATCGAGTAAGAAAGAGATGACCAGTTGAGGACAGAACATTGCAGTTGATTAACATATTGTGCATCAAAAAATCGACAAAGATGCCATTTTTGACAGGTTAGCTGCTCTCTCTATGTTAAGCACGAATTCGGAATTTTTCAATGTAAAATTGAGTAACGTATTCAATGAAAAAGGCTAAAAACAAATGTTTTTAGGTTAGACGGTGGTTCAGTGCCAATAAATGTAAATATATTGCTTAATATTGTAAATCAACTTTTATGTCGACAGTTGCAACTTGTCTGCTAAAGACAAAAGTGCAAAACGGGTGGCATCCCAGAGGAATCGAACCCACGACGTCCAGCTCCACAGTCCAAGCCACTATCCTCTGCAGCAAAAATCCTTTATAACTCCTCCAGAATGACGTCATAGCAGATATGGAATGCGGTTTAGAGATCACCGTCTGGGGACGGTATACGCGGTATACACCGCTTACCCAACCGTCACTGTGATTAAGTATCCTTCCCTTGTGAGGAAAAAACAATAGATTCTCAAATTTAGCACCTCGCGGAGTTCAAGGCAACCACTGCGTTTTAGCTTTCTTATAAGGGACGCCACTGTCAACTTCTTCTAACTATTTGAATTTTTTGCTTGCTGTTGCTATAAAAAAATTTCATAGTATCTCGACATTTCGTAGTCCTAGGGTATCATACTTTACCGTATCTGCCATTGCTTCTTCTTTGCAAAAGTACAGTTCATGTTAATGAGGAGCTCACAAGTCCGTTGCTCTTACACGTACGCATCGCAAGGCTGATGCGCTCCGTTCGCATGCGTACGGCTTGGGTCCTTGCCAACCCTCGATCGATGACGTCTGTGCGAGTTGGCAAAATGCCCTGCCGTCCGCTCGCGCACGTGGCGCACGGGATTTGCGGCGCGTGCATGCAAATCGATGACTGCACAAAAGGGAATAAGTTTTTGACATCGCCTGTAAGTGGAGAAGAAAGTGGTTGTGGTTGCATTTACTACTGTAGTAAATAAGTAGATGTACTGCGAAAAATGAAACCTGCTAACAATGTGTGGTCAGCTCTAGGCCTGTTATATACAAAGCGCAATCAACTTCAGACTCTTGGTGGGGATCAGGGCTCGGCACAGGTGGCTTGTAAGCAAGCTGGATATCGTTTTTGGGACGAAAAGCAAAGGGAGTATTGTTTTTGAGGCCAAAAAGACAGAAAATGGAACACGAAGTCTTTGTTAGTCGCCGTTTCGTTCTTTGGAGGGTTTTTTACGTTCAGGGCTTAGGGTCAAAGGGGACTTCGTAAAAGTTCGCGAAAGTCAAGGGGGACTTCGTTTTTTGCACTTTCCAAAAGCCACCTAGTGCCGAGCCCTGGTGAGGATCTTGTATATCGAATAATCTTTTCTGGCAAATAAAACGTTTCTGAAACTTGCACCTGTACCATCGGCAGCAATACCATCCAGTGGCTCTGCAGAAATATACTAGTAAGACTGTAACGCTAAAATTATTGGCAAGTTAATTCATAGACTAGCTCCTGCGCAAAAAGCGAAGAAGACGGTCCTAACGTGAATATGCTCAAGAATTCCTGTCACTGTAGTTCTTACCATCACTTATTACGGAGTGCATACTTCTTTTTGAGTGCAGGTGGATGGAAAATGTCAAATTTGAGAAGAGCCGGAAATGCTCATAGGAATGTTAAGAGTGTTTTGCTTATCCGCAAGGTCTATACATAGACTTTATCGCAGTCAAGAAAATTATTAGAAGAGACTGAGGTTCGAAATTAATTGTTTCAGGCTTTGAACACTGTAGGTGCAGTACTATACTTCTTCACTCGGCAACCGCGATTTATGGCTGCTAGAATGCTCAAATTCCTTAGTGCTATGGTATCACATCGGGTTATGGTCACTATTGAACAGGTACGTTTCTCTCCTAGTTTAGGCTCAAGAATACTGTCCAGGGAAATCGAATTTCTGTTTCTATATGTGGATACTGTTTGATAGGCCTGAATTTTTCACTGAAGCAGAAGTTCATGTGATGCTTTCGTAGTCAAAAAATCTAGTTTTGGACTTTCGCCCATTTTAACCTCTTTTGGTGAGAACCAATCAGCGCTTTGGAGTACTTTAGAAATACGGTGTGCGCTGTTTTTCGGATGTGAAGCCAATATACTGAACTGAATGAAAATACTGAGCTGCCGCTTAGACTATGGCTTAGGCTCTTTAATCCGTGCTCACATAAACTTGAATACCACATTTGCTGACTGCATTCAGTTCAACATAATTAGCGAAAAAATGCGATGAAAGGGCAGCGCAGTTTGTAAATTCAAATTTCTGTCAAATTTGTTGCACCCTCGAATTTTCTTTACTCAGACAATTGCATCGGAAAGTTCGCGGCCTCAAAGCGTGTTACATGGAGCGCCGCGGTCCTTGAAACTTCAGCCCCGCACGCCGCGGCCCATGTATAATTTACCGGGATCGCCGCGGCCAAAATTGAAATTAAGAAGAGATTGTCGGGAGGGTCGCGGCCCTACCATCTCACTCGGCGGCCCGCGGGCCTTATCAAAGGCCGCACTTCTTACACGCTGTAAAGTAATGCGCAACCCGCGTGAGGTACGCCGCAGCGATGGGGCTACCCCAGTTGCTTTTGGAGTTAGGGATCAGTTCTCGGATCTGGTCCTGTCTGACAGAATCGAGTTATCATAATTATGAAATAAACTCCATCTGTCGGTTGAGTGCTATCGACGAACTAGATGATGTCGACATATGAGCTAACACGTTGCTTAGTTTGCACTCAAGTCGTCATCGTGAAAGACAGACTAAGTAGTACTTCACTCTTCCTAGGTCTTACTGGCATGCTAATCGGGTCAACTAGAGTCGCCTAGCGGGCGCTTACAGGATGCGCCGCGGTCACTTATCGGGTCTAATGTATGGGTTTACCGGGCAGCTCGCGGCATGGATGATTGGTGGTCGAACAAGCACCCGCGAACTTCCCGATGCAATTGTCTGAGTAAATGAGGGAGTGCGGGCCTATATTGGAACAAAATGTTTGTATATGTTAGATTGGGTAGTTCGAGGGATTAGGGCGGATCTACAGCTATCTCTTTTTCCTTTCCCTTATATTAAAATAATGGTATTGAGCTGCCTTTGATTGGTTATGTTACCATGGATGTATGAAGTTTCCAGTCCGAAGTAATGCAAGAATTACTGATTCAAGACCAACTGGGTTTTGGCTGCTTGGATACCTGGTTGCTAAACAAACTCACAGATGGAAATGTTCACGTTGCTGAAGCGTCGAACTATTCGTCCAGTGGCATGTTTGATCCTTTTTTGGTACGATTCTTTTCTTTCTTCTTTTTTTTTTCAGTGAGCCAAACCTAGCCTATTTTATAGAACGACTACAATCGTGTAATATTGCGAATTATTCGATTTCCTATGGCAATTCTACCTCCTCTAGTTGATTCAGCTGACTCGACACCATTAGGATATGTAACTCAGAGCTTTTTTGGAAGAACTATTCCTATCCATGCAGTAGTGAGTCTTACATCTTTTTTTTTAACATTCAACACTCAAGGTTAATTTTTCAGATAGCCGACCAACAGTCTGCTCTTTTTGGAAGCGGCGGATGGCGGCGGGGTGATATAAAGGTTGGTCAAATTACGATAAGCTTTAGATTCAAGATCATGCAGTTTTTTGATTTGGAAAATGCTAGTGTCCAAGCAAATCTGGCTGTCTGGGTTTCTTGTGCAGGAACGATTGATAGGTCTCAACTAAGCTGTTGCCCGAACGTCAGCTCATATGAATTAATCATAGATGAGAAGCTCGACTCTAGAGTTTCACCCACTACACATTTTTCCGGCCGACCAATCATAATTCTTGATTACGGTATTGGGCAACACTTTGGGCTGCTTCTGGCTGCGAACGAATCTATGAGCTGGCATAGGGCAATGGTTAGCTGAGGCTTCACTATCAGTATACCTCGAAAATCCTAATACTCGAGATCAAAAAACGGGACTTCGAATCAAATTCCATCGAATTATCTGAATTCGGTGCAGAGACACATATTTATATATCGATGAATATTTTTTCGAAATTTGTTCGAATATAATCGACATTTCACTCGAAATTTTCGATTTTCGAATTTTATTCGAAATTCGTTTATTCGAAACTTATTATTTAGTCGATATTCATTTATTCTACCATTTGTTTTCGAAAATTATTCGTCATTTATCCATTCGGAGTTTTGAAGTTATTCGATAATCACTCATTCAACGAAAAACGAATCTCTCGAAGTATACTGAACAATGTTGATGGCTGCGCCTGCACGGGCTCTTTTGCAGACGGAACTTTCTAATGTAAATCCTATCAAAAATCCTTTCAGATCTCATTAGGTACTGGGACATTTGTAGATTTAAATACTGGAAAAACCATACACGCATCAATGAACGGTGAGTGCAACGATTATTTTATGGAAGTTCAAGCCGAAAAGAGTAGTTCAGGTCTTTATCCGCTGGTGGGATGGCGTATGAATAACAAGCCTACTTTTGTTGCTGAAGGTAATGACCATGACACGGCGGTGGTTCTTAAGTGGGCGCAAAGCATCGGTAAGAGATCAAAGTGACCAAATAATCATAATTTGTTCAACCAAATAAGTAAATTTGACTATTATTAGTAATTTAGGTCTTTTCTCAAATGTGAGTGAGACGGCAGATATCGCGCGATCTGTACCAACTTCAAATGGTGTTTTATTCGTTCCAGCTTTTGGAGGTAAAATTATTAAAAAATCTGAGTTTCAGGAAGGTTATCTTCGTTTTTTTTTTCTAGGTCTTCAAACTCCTATTAATGACGACACTGCTTGCTGTGGATTTCTTGGTTTTCGTCCTGACACCACTAAAGCACATATGTGAGCTAATTACCCTTTTATTAAATCAGTTATTTATTAGTAGCAAAGATTCCGTTTCCGTTAGGTTGTAACATAAGTTTTGTGATATTTTTTTCATTTTCCTCTAGAATCTAGAAACCTTAGCAAAATTAATATTTGGCACATATGAGCAATGGTAAAAGGACAATCTACAAGCATCATCTGCACCTATACAAATATGGGTTAGAGTAAATACGAAGGCGGTTTTTTGAAGGAACTTCAATCTCCATTTTTCTATTTTTCCTTCACAAAATCTTACACTCTTATTTATGCTTTTAGGTTCTATTCTCGAAAACATTAGTTCTCATATTCGATAACTATTGGAAACTTGCCAAAAATAAATCGGAAAAATATTTGAAGTATTCAAAATTAGTTTTTTTTTCATGTGTAAGATGTACAGAAAGTTACAACCTCTATTCAATCTGAATATGGAAAAATTCTTTTGAGAAGGTTATGATAGTTTCTTCGAGTGTAATACAACTTATGTTACAATCTAATACACTACTTCAAATGTTTTCCAGGGTCAGAGCAATTCTCGAGTCTATAGCATTCCGTGTCTTTCAAATATTTGAAACAATGCGGCATGAAGTACGCATTTTGGACAAACCAAGGATTAGGTTAGAAGCTGCCACCAAATAATCACGGTCGGACTACGGTATTTTCAGAATCTGTGGTGGTGTTGCCGCAAACGATTTCATATGTGAAACTATCGCAACATTGACTGGATTTGAAATTTTTCGTATGAAAGATGGAAGTTTTGTCGCATCACGTGGAGCTGCTTTACTTGCCGGACTTGCACAGGGTACGGTAATCTTACTGTAGTAAATACTGTAGCGCTGCAACTATGATCATGTGGCAAATTTATGCTGATTCTACTGCCTTACTGTATTTTTTTTGAGAATTCATTTAAATATGGGATTTCTAGGATTATGGGATCAAGGTGAACTTGAGCGTATGATCGACGTTGATCATTGCTTCCTTCCTTCACGCGAAAACTCGTCCGAGGTACGAAAAGCGTACGAGATGTGGTTGAGGGCCGTTCAACGGTGCTCGCGATTCTACGATCCATAGTGCTCAGCTACTTAGATTTTTTGGGGATTTGGATTTTGCCGGCGACAAATCCAGGGAATCGGATGATTCTTTTTACTGTGGAAGCTCTATGGGAACAGAAGGTGCCATTCGGTATCGACTTGGTTTATGGGTTTGAGCCATGCTACTTACACATGGAAATCTCATAGTCTATACGGCTGCCTTATACGATATGCTCAGTGTTTTAAGTGCCTAACACATCATTTTTATCAGCTTTCTGCCTCTTTACACGAATTTCTTTGTTACATTCCGTGTATAGGTTCTTCGCAAATACTTGTCCTTGTTTGTGATTTTTTTTTTGAGGATTAGGATGATGTTTGAAAAGCGCATTTGCCATTGTTAATTTCTCATAGATAAAGTTTTAACCTTTGAAATTGAGACCAGTGATTTTGGCAAACTGCTGGAAAGTCCAGGCTAGTAAAGTCTTCAGATAATTTACTCTAAGCGGAGGGACCAACGAAACATTCTTTTTTTTTTCACTGTTATCATTGAAAGCATAACTGGGACCGCAGTGGCGATTGATCTGTCGGAATCCTTTGAGTACGTCTATAAAATGTAGAATATTTGCATTTCTTCGTCGTCACCCACGAGATGTCAACTCTCCATCTCTGGACACAGTGCTTTACGAGAGTACGGTTTATGTCACACGTTTTAATTTGGTTCATTCAAAGTTTGCTATGACTCTAAAAGAAGATAATATACTCAGATTTCAAAAATGTTGCTCTAAAAAACATGCCTTGGTATGAGTTTTCGTGAAAATAAGAAGAAGACGATAGCAGTGGTCACTTATATGTTCAAGAATGATTTGTTGTTAAAAGTATGGAGTTTCAGGTTGAATGAAGCTCAGCGAAAAGGGTAGCATCTGCAAATTCAAAAGTAACGCTCTTCAAGACGTCTCAAGAATTATCCTAGTAGAATGGTTCTACCCGAAAGACAGCGCTTGAAAGAAAATATAATAAAATCCTGCTTTAATTTTGCAAAAATATAATAAAAACCTGCATTAATCTTGCAGTCTAGTATTTGCGAGCTCGCACTATTTTCATGGGAAGAATTTTGTATTGGAAGTGATTTACTCGACTTGAAAGCTACCTGGAGCAAAAAAGAAATACGAATAAGTTCATCTATATATCTACTAGGCTGTATTATGTTCTCTCAAAATTAATGCAGAAAAATTTACCATTGAATTTTGTTGCAGATGTTATAGCTCGTATTATAGTTCTATTTTCCTGGCAGTGCGCCTGCCTGAGCAAAATCTCAGTGCTTTCAAACTGACCTGAAGACATTTTGTTAACCAAATAAATGTCTGAAAAAAACTAATTTTGACTTACAGTTCAGATATTATTATTAAGCCAACAATTTGCCGTTTCATACATTTTTCAGACAATACAAGGGTTTCCCGTTGATACGAGTCTTGGAATGAAGATATCCAACCAGGATCTTCGACAATTTCGGTACTGCGGATTCAAAGTCATCGTTGCAGAACCTGCATTAATTTCGGGAACCTAATGTAAGCATAGTGGCCTGTTTCGGTAGCGTTGTGTCACACGGCCGATAAGCGATAGTGAGTGATTTGGTCTCGGAGAGTGTTGAATGTTTTCTTAAGATAACAGTATTTTCTTCCCTACTCCTCCCTTTCTGCCCCACCTATGGTTTATTCATTAAAGAGCAAAAATATTTTGAATTCAGCTAGAATTTCGTGTAAAATGGCTCACGAACTTCTTCCCCATTGTGCCCGGACTCGATGCAACATATCGTTTTGGGTGTGAAGCGCCTATGATAGGCTATCACCTATCGATGAACGACAACTCGTAAAAGTGACTAGATGAAGGAACGTGCGACATGCGAAACGACCATCCAAGCAATAATTATTATGATAAATAGTGTAAACAGGTGCGAGAGATGTTTGCACTCGTACTACCGACACTTTTTTTGTTAGGTTTTATCAACGAACCACCAACGCTTTTCTCTTTCCGGTCATGACATTGAGGTAACTTTCAGGAAAATTACCATTCATGTTCATATACAGTATTTCGATTTCTCTTTCTGTTGTATACATTAAGGTTTGGTTGAATCTTGGACTGTTTCGTATTATGTTCAAGGTAGTGTAATTAGCTTTCATTATGAACAGCTATTGTTTTCAATCATTTTTCTGAGTTGTTGTTGGTTTTATGTTCATTGTTAGATTCAGTGTTGTTACTAAGAAAGTTTACCAGCAACTTCTAAATTGTGCTGGCACCTTTATGGGAAATAAGTACAAAAATAAAATAAAAATAAAGCGTAAGACTATAATAGCAACATTCACTAAAGAATTTGCCAAAATTTTGCAAACAAGAAATTCAAGTGAATGAGACATTCGTAGATCATTGATCAGTCCCCACTGATCTACCACGGCTGCAATAAGTCAATATCGATAGTTTATTTTTTTTTCGTTCTAGCACGATGATCGTCCACATATGCTCTATTTCCCCTTAAATAATTTATCGCCTAATTCTTTTTCCAAATTTTTTTCCCATTATTTTCGAGCTTGTTGCTCTTCGTTCTAGTGTTTCATATTTTCAGGGTTTGAATTTGATAACTTAAAATAAGAATTCGCAAATAATTTGCTTTTCGTAATGATGGTCAGGATTGTCACATTCTGCAGAATAGAACATGAAGGTAATTTTTTTGCTGATAATTTGGTCGAAAACTGCTTGAAATCTGTCAACGCTTTTGTCCCGATGCTATATAAGTTATCGTTATTATTTCTAAAGTCTCATCGCTATATATAACTAATTTTAACCTTCATTTTGCTTTGTGTGAAGTGACTCTGCATGACTAAAAATTTGAATTTTTATACTTTCAATTCAAACCCGTCCCACCAAGAATTCGACGAAATGTGCGCTGCTCTCGCCATAGTTAGATTTTTGGTAAAAGGTACGGGGCTCGTAGGCTATGACTCAGACTGCACTCAACTTTTATACTCTCTAATCGGCTTAGATAAGCAAACTGCAGCCTCGCGATGGTGCTGGCCCCTTTACTTGGTAGAATAATCTTCGTTACGGTTGGCTGTGGATTATGAGCACATTGATTTTGAAGCAAGATACTCAGAGATAAAATTCGGAGAAATATAGCTTGTTTTCGCATCTGCAGAATTTTTAATTTTTAGATGTAGCTTCTCTCGATTTTTCGCTTGATTTTTTCATGATATTGCTTGGTTTTGGGCATGAGATAGTCCGTCTTTTCCTTTCTATTGTGAAGCATATAGTACCTTTTGATCATCTAATAGGAAAATAAATCGAAATCAAAGGATGCATTTAGAACAAACAGGTAGCTGATTTAAACTTGAGCGTGAGATAACCGACCAGTATTATATTTCTAGAGGTAAAATATAATTACAAATAATCTAGAACTTTTGAAGTCAAATAACTTCAGTGCTATAAAAATTCTCACTATCTAATTGCACTTATTACATTTCTATTTATACCATTGTTAAATAACAAACGTAAAAAGGCACAGCGAGGCAAGTTTTAAAAATTTTTAAAATTATCAGAAGACAACCTATGCATTATCTTCGAATTTGGGGCAAAAGGTGAGAGTGGAAAAAAGATGGCTTCACAAACCGAGGATTTTTCTGAGATCGTAAAATCTACATTTGATAAAAATCTATTTTTGTATATGGTCAGTATACAGACTGACAAATCAGTTCGAACAAGTTCGTTTAGCCGCTTTACAACAAAAGGCAATTTTTTGCAGATATGTTGAAAATAATTTCTACTGTAGGAAACCAGCCACTGAATTTTGATCAGCTTCTTCAAGAATCCCAACAGTAGAATTGTCCTCTGCTAGCATTCGCATATTCGCATTCTCTTTGATGTCATAACAGCTCAAAGTTATTGCTAGGTAAAGCCAACCGCGTGCAGCGATGCGGTAAAAGTATCAAACACAGGTGTTTGTCATATTTGTAGCGGATCTCAGCCCGGGATAAGAGGAAGCCGATCCAGTCGGCTATGTTTGTAATGTGCAACGTATCGGCGCATTCGCGGCAGGGCCTTCCATGCCAAACGGCATGACCGTGTTTGGCTAGGAGTTAGCACGATTAGTCAGTAATACCCTCCCGAACGCACACTATCTTCGGGTCAAGCGCGCTTGCGCTCTGCCTCAGCGTTGACTCAACAGTTTTAGGATGGATGACAGAGACTAAGCTGAGATCGAATCATTACAACGTTATGGCGCCTTTGAACAGAAGATCATCCATAGAATGCGTTAGGCTAAGAGCATACTTTGCGTGACTCAAGCTGGTACGATTTGGCAAAGTTCTAGTTCTCTCCAAACTCCGCATTTGGTAACCTCAGACAGATAGTAAGCTAATGCAATTTATCTGGTACTTTTGAAGACTCGCATAGCGCTAAACTAGGGTTTTAAGTCGGTGATAGACGGAGAAATCGCGCCATTTGACCGTGTCACTTTTTCAATACAGATCATAATGGTTTCGCAGCTCATTATGTAAGTTAAGCGTACCATACATTTGGATCTTGCAGATTTTGGATTCAGAAGCATTTGACAAGTTGCCAGACCGTTTGGCGACCGAAACTGCGCAAGTTTAACCTGGATCTCACAAGACACAAGACCTTGCGATCACCATAATACGCGAAGAGTAATAAAAATGCTTGCAAAATTTTGTTGAAAACAAAAGCAGTGCCAAAAAGTGCTAGTGCCGGAAAATGCGGAAATCTGACGATATCCACCATACGTGATTGCGATTTATGATACCGTCATAAAAAGGTATACGGTAGTTCTCAGTCGTTTTGTGTAACTGCACACCTTATCTGTATTTGTTCTTCTTGGTCATTTCGAAATTTTCCTTCTATGTTGCGTGTTTGCGGCCTGCCCCAGCGCAGATTATCAAAGTTGTGCAACTACACAAACTCACAACTTAGCGGGGACAGCTGTAAGTCTAGTACTCTTCAGATTATGAAATTGCTATCTTAAACTGGCGGACCGTAGAATGGATACTCATAACTGTCACCAAACCTAATGTGCGGTAATGGCCTACTGTAGGCATACGGTATTTGCATTAAAGCCATTTTTTTCTATCTGCAGAGTCAAAAGTCATTGAGCTATAGTAATGTTCTACTTTCGTATGTGAAGCTGATGATTTTTATCTCTAAGTGCTGACAAACTCCATGAAATTACGTTCCCATCGTCCGATGTCCAGCTCGCTTCACCTGCGAGGTGCGAGGTCAACGGCACCATAAACGCGAGGCGATTAATTACGGTAATATCAAACAAATTACGTATCCATAGTACTCGTTTACGGCGGTTGTCCCGTCGACAGGATTCAAAATGGCTGAGCAAAATTTATTATCGCTTACATTCGTATGCTGGACAAAATTGAAGTGTAGTGAAATTTTTGAGAAATTTCTGAAAGCATCCCTTATCCTCCCACTCAAATGTCGGCACGAGTCTAAGCAATCCAATATACCACTTGCTATGACGCATTTATGTTCTTCGGTTGATCGTAAAGCTTCCATAAATGTACAGTATACCTCTTTTGTTCTGATATGCAACGGAAAGTGTCATTTTACTCCGTGATATAGGCCTCTGTTCACTGCCTGCTTTCAGTTTTAGTCCTCAATTCTTGACTAGATATGCTGAATGGATCAGCTCGTAATTACGCGATTTGGTGGCGATTTGGAAGCAGTAGATTTAAGCGGTAAAAATTGCCGAGCGGTGATTTTCGAATTAAATGAAAGGTAATTCAGTCGGAGCCGGAAAGGTGTTCCGGAAGCTGCTCAAAGAATAGAATGGTTCACTGCAGTTCTAGACTTCTACCCATGCATGGTCCTTTAATGCGAATCGGATAGGTTCTATTTTGGGCAGTTATTTTTGAATTTTGAGAGTTTGGATGTATAAAATGCTCTTATCAATGTGGATGAAAAATATCTAATGTACATTTAGAACCCACAATTTTTTATAATCCGAAAATATTCTAGAAAAACTCCTCTTGCATGACAATAGAATCTTAAACTCAATTTTCTGCACTCTCCTTCTCATAATGCTGAGACATGTCTATTTCACTCCCCAGTAATTCCAAAATTTCACAATTTTCTTTTGCTAGCCCAAATAAAACAAGGATTATTGTCGGCTTTGTGACTGTTTCCTCCGTGTCGTTGTACTTGAAATGGCAAAGAATTACGCCAGTGCAAGCTGCTTATGTAAAGCATCTCCTTATGAGGACGATTACGATATCTGTACAAATCGCCAGTTAGATAAGACTAAATGTGCATTGAGCCGAGAAAAGCTGAGCAATTTTGATCAATAGAAGTTGTCTAGAAAGCACTTTTACGGAGAGGAGACTCTAAAAAACGATTATTCTATAACTGGGCAGAAATTTCAAATTAGGGTATATAAAATATTAGAAATGCATCCTGAAACATTTATTTCCCTAAAGCTTAGGACAAGCTGTTATCTTATTTTATTCAAGGTTATTTTTCCTCTTTTTTTTGCATCTTGAGTGTTTGAATAGAAAACATGGTTTGTGAATAAATAAATAAATGATTCCATTTCGGCATGTACATTTTGCTTGATAAGTTCACTTCGCCTGGGCAAAGTTCGAGAGCCCGAATTATTTTTTCCCAAATTTCATTCTCACATAGAAACATTTCCATATCACTGTATGCACTGTGACTAATTGTATGACTTAGCAACAAGTCTAGGAATGGCAAATTTCTCCCAGACATGCGCAGAAGGACCCCAACAATGCCCCGCATGCGAGAAAAAAACGCGCCAGGACCCCTCTATCCACGAATAAGATCGCACTTGAGTCGGCAGGAGGGTTGCGGAATAAACTTTGACAATGCTTTGATCTGGCCAATGTTGATGATTGCACGCTGATACCGTGGCTGCCTAAGCATAAGCCGCGCTCTCTGTGCCACTCTTGGTCTGTTTACTTTTGCCTTTTGACTAACATGTGTTGCCTTGAGGTCTATGCTAACCATTATGGAAGCTGCGCTTCGAGCTGACAAAGAGTCTGGGAAAAGCATTCTCGTTTGGACGGGGTCGGAAAAGACAAAAGTAGAGGAGGAGCTAGTTCGAGTCATAGTTGCGAATCTAATGTGCTGAATTCGGTACTACTCAAAAATCTGACGCTTAAAAGCGATGCGCTACCTTGTGTAGATTCAAAAAAATCTCATAGAAAAACTTTTTATCCAATTTTATGGCCGGCAAAATTCCTGATACTCCAAATATTTTATCAGGCCATTCAAATGTCCCCTTACCCTCTCCCACACAGATTCTTAGCCATAATTTCCAACCAATAACTCCTCTCTATCTTCCGTATTTCTTTACTCAAACGCTCGTATTATTTATCCAATCGCTGTCAGTTATGTGCCCCGTGATTGCCTTTGCATCAAAGCCATGCCGCCGAATTGCCGGTGAAGTGCAAATTCTCGCGCATCAGACTGTGGATGCCTATTATTTGACGGGTAGAAGCTGTCACATAGCAATCTTAGGGCAATGCATCTTGCATAGGAAATAGATCCCCACAACCCAAATTTTTCGGGAAATTTTTTTGTAAGCCCGGGGTTTCTCGTCCCTATTTGCTCCTCGCTGCTCGTGCAAAGATGTGCAGCCGCGTTGATGCTCAAATGTATTGCTCATCCCTTATTTCCTACATAGAAGGCGAACCGAGAGAGGTGCAAAGTGTCACCTTAACGGATGAGCCAGGCTTAATTTGATAGGGCCGTATTTAGACAGGGTGTTAGCGAATAACCGGTTTAGTGGCGCGTCAGTATACGGTAGAATGTTGGCAGCCGGGCGTGTATTAACAATCACTGAATCGGGCACATGTGACTCCTAGAGTGGAGCCGCTATTTCATAAGTGTTGTATTTTCTTCTTCTTGAATTGTTGTTCATGTTATTAGCAACTTTGTAAGCTGGAATCTTGAAGCCTTTAAAATAATAATGTTATGCATTTTTTAAGATTAAAAATCTGTGAATATTCAACTTTTGAAAGGTTTTGACCGACAATATCCAGAACCTCAAGTTTTACAGAATGTGTCAAAACAAATGTACAAATATGACCATTGCTCAAATGGATTGTGCAGCAGCGGTCCTGCCCAGAAAATTTCGGCGAACATGCCCTTTCATGGGTGATACATCGCCTCACTACTTCTAGGATAGTTCCCATTACTACCTCACCCCTTTACACAAACCTATACAACATCCCCTGAATAGTGCTCCCTCCATAGTATCAGAGCTTTTCCCTCTTCCCAAACGATGTGTTGCAAAAAACTATCCTGAGCATAACAAGGTGCAGCATTTCTTTCTTTTAACTGCCCGCCATGCCATTGTTCGTTGGCGTTTTGTCATACGATCCACGCTCCTCCTTGGTTTATGTCACCATCGCTCTTTTACAATCTTCATCGTAGTACTTACGCGTTTATATACAATGCTCAGATGCTCAGATCTAGTAGAATTGGTCCTGGCTAGATTTAACGCTGAAAAACTGTGCAAAATTTACTAGTTTCGAAAGGTGGTGCGTGTGCGTCCCCTGCAGAAGCTGATTGCTGCACGTTTTTATTGAACGTTTGGTGTCAGGCCGATGTTGGTTTGAGAAGTGACGACCGGACGCCCTTCAGTTAATCCGGTAATCAGCTGCTTGGTTCTCCTCCCAAGCGCTGCCTACCCCCCTTCTTATCATTCTAACACCCCGTCTCTAACTCTTTCGAATGCCACTACACTGCAAGCAAATGCGAGAGAACATTAGCGGATGTTGCATTTGAACGAGTTTCTGAGGTAACTTTTCGTACACTGTAGCGTTTCGTGCTTGTCTGAAAAAATTACGCAGTCTCTGAGATATTCTGGAACTGGTCCGTCAACATATACTCTTCATCCTGACACTTCTAACAAACTCAGTGACCGATTTTATTTCCCATCCTTTTCACCCCCGTCCCAAGGCATAGTCTTTACAGTTTCTTCACAAGTAAAGGAGAGCAAGAAACTTCAAGTAAAATAAACTTCCTAGCTCTTTACCATCAATTTCATTTCCACTAATCTTGAAAACAGAAAAAAGAAATGGGAATGGCAGGACTTTTGCCATGTTCGTAGCAAGGGTGTCCTTTACCAAAAGTCGCAATAGTTAACATCTTAGCTATCTTACCAGGAATGTCTCAAGACTTCTTGAAAAGTCTTCATATTCGTTTTCATAATGCAATAGAGTAGATTTATCTAATTGCATGGTATTTGTAAAAGCTCATGTGGTTAAGTTTCAAAAATTATCGCCGCATTTCTATTTTCCAAGCGCTTTTCTATTCCTGCAACACTTCAAATGTATTTTTCCATCTGAATACGTTTCCCATTTCCATACATCATCATGCTCGATGGCTTTTTAGAGCTAAATAAGCATAGTAGCGCATGTTGACGCATATATCGACTACTTTTCCAGGTAGTGGTGTTCGGGGGACTACAGTATCCCGCCGAGTGGGCGGGACCAGCAGTCAGCCACCTCGGCAGCCGCCGGCACACCGGCACACCACTAAACACACTCACATACGTACATAAATGCCCTTAACTCTGTGACATTCTGGGCACTTAGGTTCTGAATTGTATTGAGATCCTGCTAGGAGAGATGCTTTTCACATTGCCGCTGGAAGGCTACACTTTCGAGCACTCTTTTAGCTATTATCCACGCAGAAATTGGCGGTGTTTCTTATTTTGGCTACCTTACTTCTTCTAATTCTACGTGTACAAAGTTTTACAAAATCTGAACTCTACAAATCTCCCTCGCTTGCTCTCTCCTGCTCATATAACAGCTATCATCTGAATCCTCATAGACCTGTTTCCAGATCTTGTACTGCACTCTTTATCTTATCATTAAAGATTTCGAATATGCACGGAAAGTTAGCACTTTTTGAAAAATAACTCAGGACAAGCTAATCAGTTGTGAAATCTCAATATTTATTTGCATGTGGTCGTCTGCGTTCTATAAAATTAACCAAGATTTCTTGGTCCGCAAAGATTGCGGGCAGATCATCTATATCCAAAAAAGTCTAGCTTCCATTGTAAGTTTGCGTTGTATCTAAATCTGAGACAATTTGAAGTCTGCCAAGATTCTGTATAAGTTCTAGATCCATCGAAGGCAATTTTGAGAGCTTCGTTTGGGCAAACTATTTAGATTATATGACTGCTACTACACATGGTTCCCTATGTACTTTTTAATATAGTGCTTGCTTAGGCTTGAGCTTGTTCACCAACTGCCGCTTCCGCGATTTCTATTTTTACTGAAAGCGCTGACGCATCCAGAGACAGCGCGGTACTGTTTCATCATAACAGAAGCTCACAAAAATTTTATAACGACCCTATACTGTTTTTGAGTGGTTCTTATCAAAAGCTCGTTTCAAAGGAAGCCGCTGGTAATAAAAACGAACTAGCCTTTTATGGTCTCACACTACGTGCCATGATTTCGGCACCTCGTCGAGAGTGCTGCTCTGCAAAGCACAGCCACCCCCACATCTCGTCCCTTTGACTACTCTTCTACTCGAGACCCTCGCAAAACTTCCTGGTTTCATGCACTTAAGCTTCTCCTGCTTCTTCGTCTCGTCTGTAATATGTCGTTCGTTTACTTTTGGCGGCTGAGAAGCTGTGTGTGGTGTGTGTGTGTGATTGCTGACACCCCGTCGTCACGTATTATTGCAAACACACACAGCTTCGGCTCGGTTACTGTAAGAGGGTGTCTCAAGGAGCTGCTGTTTCGCGGGGGGATCGCGCTCGGCTTTTGCGCGGGGTCAGCACCTCTTCGCTGGTGATCGTGAGGGGAGAGGGAGGGGTGGTAGAGAGCTGACTACCGTACTCTCTTCCCCCCCCCTCCACCCCTCTCTTAAATTTACACTGCTACTTCCGTATTGCTCACACTTTCTGCGCGCCGCCGCTTCTCTGCACAATTTAAACCGAAACTGAACTGTTATCGATTTGTCTACCGTATTTTTGCCACCTAAGAACGTGTTGATGATAACGCTTTTCCCCCCGTTGTGGCTGCCCCCCTTCTTCCGCGTTTCCTATCCGAAATTACGAAGCAATCTCTCGAATCTACTCCCTAATATACATCGACTTTCATAGAATTCTAGAAACATTAGCATTAGCGATAGATTGGATTAGTCATAGAAGATTAGTGCCCCTATTATCGAAGAATTTTGGTGCTTCTTTCAGATGCTGCCCACATTTGTGCCGCTAAAGGAGCATCAATCAATTTTCCCTCCACGACCTCAAAACGACGAATTTTTCCGTTATTGGCAGGTTTATCAACAACAGTTGTATCATATGCTCTACACTCTTAATGTGCAGGTAAGTATGAGATAAAATTTTGAGCAAATAGTTAGAATCACCATGTTTGAACGTCCAAAATTTCCTTGATATGCAAAAATGTCTTTGGTCTCTTTGAAATACTGTTTACGGCTATGAAAAGTTCAAGAAAGCTATAGGACTCCAAGAACTTGATGTGATGGTCTATAATTAGCTAAATATTGAATTTATAGAACCTTTGTAAATGAAAAGGCGCACTTTTACGCATCTCCAGAATTTGATATACATTTTGCTGGATTTCGCGACAAATGCTATCAAAATATCACGTATAAGGTCCTAAATAATAAGCATGATTAGGAAATAATTAATAGAAATAAAGTAACAACTTACTTTTCTGAATTAAAAGCACCACATTATTATTGCATAATCAAGTTATACAAGCTAACAGATCAGATTTAGAACATGAATGCCCGGATGAAAGCATTTTGTTCGCCGGAATCTTCCGAAGGAACTTCGAATGATTCATCAACAGAGAAAAAGAAGTTTGATTTCACTCATCTAGCCGAATCTATCGAAACAGAGGAACGAGAAAAATCCAGAGTAGGCAATCTTTTTATCCTTTACATTTATCCAAATTGATGTTACTTTTCTAGAGTGAAACAACACCAACTCGTCCATTAGCAGTCACTTCGTCTCCTTACCATCGTCCGCCATGGTATGTGGAGAATTTCGAGGAAGTTTGATAGAAAACTATGACTTTTATTCTAGGTTTCTCCTGCCTGGACGAGGTCGTGGAGCTGGCAAGTCAACTAGACCAAAGAAAGAATTTATATGCAAATATTGTAACCGACACTTTACAAAGTCCTATAATCTTTTGATTCATGAGCGGTGAGCTGATCCCTTACCACTTGATAACAGTCTTCTAAATCTCTTAGCTTTGCAGGACCCATACAGATGAGCGTCCGTACTCTTGCGATACTTGCGGTAAAGCATTTCGGCGTCAAGATCATCTTAGGGACCATAAGTAAGTTTGTTGGAGGATAAATGGAAGAGCTACGGTAGCATCTGTCTTCTTTAACTAAACTGGGAATGAAGGGGGGGATGGTATGGTAAAATCAATGTTTTTATGAGCTAGTTGGCCAAAGACGTGCTACCCTTCCGTGACTACTGTAACCTTGATAATGATTGTAAATGCCGAGGACATTGTGCAATTTTCTTTGGTTTTTTCAAACTAGGTTTTTGTTTTGTTTTTGCGGTTATCTGGAAACATTCTCCCAACTATAATCTTTCTTTTAGATTTATCCATTCAAAAGAAAAACCCTTTAAATGTGATGTTTGCGGTAAAGGATTCTGCCAGTCACGGACTCTACAAGTGCACCGAGCAGCCCATAACGAATGCAATGGAAATCCAGATATGGACGAGCCGGTAGGTATTTATATGTCCTACATATTCTACATAATGTTTAGAATGTTTAGGTGGTTTTGGTCTCTCCTTCGGAAGAAGTGAAGCCGCTGCTCACTCCTGACTCGACGTCAAGCCACCACTTGGACTCACCCACTCGAGAATCGCGGATTTCCTGAGTTTCTATTGTTATGTTCCTGTTTTGTATATATAGTTCGATTACATGTGCGTTATGTGCATGAAGTGCTGAAATGCCATTGAATGTCTTTATTTTCGAAATTTGTGCAATATTCCGTAAACGAAGCAATGTATGAGCGCTGCCGAAGCAGCGTGCGCACCTTCCAATTCGCCATTATCAGAGGCTAGGGCCCCGTTTAAGTGGCTTGCTAACACCATACTCTCGACCCGCGATCATTCGCACCTTGCTCTAACAATCACACAAGCAAATCGCCTTGCCGTATGTTTGTATTCGGCTAGGTCCCGTTTGTGTCCCCGCGTGTCTGCATGTGTATGCGTGTGCTGATAGTACAGAGGTGTCGCGCTGTACGTGAGATCGGATTCGCGCTCCATGGCGCTGTATTGCTCCATTTGCACTTATATCTCTCTCCTAATCATAATAAGACGCGCTTAGAGTGCCTTCCACATATCACAGTGATGGCTAATAGTTCGTAAACACGAATGTGTGCTCTCGTAAGAAATATTCTTTGTCAACGATCAGGTTTCGACTTCTGTTGGAGTACCTCGTGTAGTTTCTCGTAAAAACGCGCACTCGTCTGTGAGAGTGCGTCAGTCCTCGCGCAATGTGTCAGATAGTTCATGTGATTCGATAATGTTGTTTACAATAAACTTTTCAATGCTTTTGTTATCATTTTCAGACTAATCTTTTTGGTATACCAAGCTGAAGAAAGTGTTCTGCTCTAGATGGAAGATTAACTGAAAAAGTCTGAGTTTGTGGGGACAATAATGCAGCTTAGGTGATACAACTGCTCTTCTAGCAAAACTTTGGGATTACGGTAGATCAAAAATCCACGATGTGTCCCCGCCCGAATTATCGACTGCACATTTTTATTAGGCTGTACCCTGGACCTTGTTCATCTGCGAATTTATCTTTTCTTTCCTTTTTCTTCTAATTTTACTATAATCTGCACGTTGAATGTTGTATCTTACAAGTTTCAGTACCAGTACCAGTGAGTAATTGCCGTAGAGCACCTTTAGCTTATAAAAGAAGCTAAAAATGTGATCAACATCCTTCCGCTCTGAGGAAAAGCTAAACTCGTTTTTTTTTTCTAGAAAAATAAAGATGAAACATGTTATCGATCAGTTGAAGATTATTGTTATCTGCTACCGGCTCAAGACATGAACATGTACGATTAAGGAATTCCGCTGATGTGATGGTACCCACAGACACGAAAATCCGCAATTTACGTTTTTTTGAAGCTTTTTGATGAGTCATGAGACGCCTCTCACCATCGTGCATAAAAATGCAATTTCCGGTCCACCGTAGTCGTAATTGAGCGGCATCCTTTAATCTTTTCTCGACAAGAGCCAACCACGGGGCTGGCCAGGTAGGGGGACATGCCTAGTGTCATGGTATAAGATTATATAGAAATGTATTATGATTCATTATGTAAATTGTAGGGGTAGAGGGTTCGGGGGACAATTATGGGAAAGGGGGGAGAGGGGGAGAGGGGCTGATGTTTTGCTTTACTGTAGACGATACAATGTCAACAAGAACAAGCACTGATGCTCTTTTGACTTTGCCGGCACGATAGGCGTTGAGCGTGTCGGATCTTCAAAAGAAGCCGAAATTGTCACGCTAAGGTCAAACTATTCGTAACGGCTCAGAAGCCTAATCGAGCTCTTTCCCTTGAGCTTGAGAAATCTGATCAAATTCTCTACGTTCTCCCAGAAAAAGGGAAATTTCTATCGAGTCTAATGTGCGCTGCAGCTGTGCATTTCATGAACGTTCCCAGCGATTTTACTGTCTTCGGAATGGATGCCCGTCAGAAGATGCCGCTTCGCTTCCTGGCTGTGTGAACAAGCTTATCATACCTAGATGTATTGTGAGGGGTTTCCTCTAGTAAAAATGGTATACGAGATCGAAGGCGAATGAAGAAAAACACCAAACAAATCTATCATTGAAATTCTCGAATTTTATCAAGCTCAGCTAAGTGTAAGTTCATAGAGATCTCATTTGTTGGGCTGAAAACTAAGCTTTGCAACTTTCTTAAGCCTTCCTCTCTTACAGCAAGGCCCGTTCAAAATTTGCCAATATGTATGTGACGCAGGCTACATGTGCTGCTGCTGTTTTGCAAAGTTCTGAAGTCATAATGAGTGTTACGGTAGGTATACGGTATGAGGGGAGAAATCTCTACATATATAAAGCAGAAAACCTGTGAGTTTGTGTGTTTGTGCACATTCCCAGTAGTGCAGGATTTACAGGATGTGTAGGATGTGCAGGGTGTGCAAGGTGTGCAGGGTGTGCAGGGTGTGCAGAGTGTGCAGGTGTGCAGGATGGGGAGTTTAGACTGATAGACTGGTTCCAAACCGGAGTGAAACCCGGGATGCCTGCTCGTTATTGAATACTACAAAATTTGGCAGAAACTTGGTGTAAGGGGTTATCCGACGTGCTGATCACAAAAATTAAAATTGCATGATAAGAACTTTTTGTGAAATTACTGTAGGTTGTTACGGTAACTCTGAACAAGGTAATAGGCGCTAAAGTAACAAATGAATATGATATGGTCATATGACCCCACTACGCAAAGTCTCGGTGAATCTCGAGGTTCCGACTCCTTAGCCATTGACGGTTGTTCTCAGCACCCTTGCGTACTGTGACTCGTTCAACTTCGTGAGGGTAGATAATCTTGACTCGCCTTTAAATTTTATTTCTTTCTTGCTGAGCCAATTGCGTCAACCTCTGGCAACAAGTCATTCACAATTTCGGATCATTGTGAGTGGTTTAGATTGCCAACGGCTTCATTTTTGCTTTTAACCACATAAATCCTCGAAATATACTAATTTTCGAAAATGCCTGAAATTTTCCTAATTCTTGTTCAAAAATCAAACATTTATGCGCAATTGTAGCACACATTACAAGCTAAATACTGCCATTTGAGTGAGCCATATTAAATGGAGTAAAATTGGGAAAAATGTTGCAAAATTTATATTCCAACCTAATACATTTAAGGGTTATTTAATTGATTTCTTCTCGTTTGGAACATAAGCGAGTTCTTTTAGTTCATGAAGAGACATTTTTGACAACTTCTTTGCAGTCTATTCTGACATTTTTGGTTCTTAGGCTAGAGGTAAGCTCATGACAATGTGAAGTTTTGGATCTCGCAGGTCAAATTTTACAAAATAAATTAGAAAAAAAAAAACGTCCATACGTGGTGCACATCTCGAACCATGCATGCCATGCATAGTGGACATCACCAATCATTAGCTGAAAAGGTGTTTTCGAAAAGCATAAAGATCTAATATTTGTTGGCACAATAAAAGCGCGTTCGAATGGGCCGAAATGCCGTAAAATCAGTACAAACGGATAAGTAATTTGTTCAGGATTACCGTAATCAATTACGCGGCTTTTATGTTCGCATTGACCTTAGGATGGGGAAGGTGAAGCACGCTGAGGTGGGGGATCTAGGGACAGCATTTCGCAAAATTTTTCCTAATTTGATCCACTGTTGAGTTACAAATTTTGTTTGGGATGTGTTCAAAAGTATAAAATCCCTATTCAACAAAATAAGTTTAATTCTAACGGTCAAAAACACTTCAAGATTTTGGAAATATGATCATGGATCAAATAAAGAAATCTCTTTTTCAGGATATACTATAAACTCGTATAAAGTTGGCAGCGATCCAAACGCTCGCGAAACATGGTGACAAATAAAGTGCGCTAGCAATTAATCGTGGACGGATAGCTTTTACAATCATAAACGCGCCCTATAAGACCGAGCGCCATTGTGGTGTTTGCTTGGAGCGCGTAATTTTCCTTATGGTCACAGATATAAACGCATATGACATTAAAAATCCACGGACTTCGGTAAAGCACCTTAGGCAATGTAGTCTATTGAATAAGAGTTAGTCGAAAACAGATCCAAGAATCAGTGCTTGGGGTGTATAACGGTTATGGACTATGGTTTTGGACTGCAAAATTCTGATCTAATTGACAATCACGAGGAAGCGCTGCATAATGATGGAAGCTCTGTCATCATTGTTAGCTTCAAAGTGTACGTACGTCTAGTAAATTTTCATTTATACGCTTCATCAAAGTGTGCTGTTGCAAGAGGCTGACGGCGGGACAAATTTGCCAAAACGAAATTTACTATTAAAATGGTTTTTGATGCACCACCTAGCTCGACGTAGTGCATGTCATATGTCGTGTCTGAGGTGCCTGTAATTGGCAAAGTGAAAGTGCTTTACCCCCAAAGTACGAAGAAAGTAGGCAATTCACAAATCTGTGAGTTGCTGTTCGGATCATTATTCTTGGGAACCCTGATATATGGAGAAATGTGTAATTCTGACTTGTCAAAGTGCCAGCAAAGCGTTATTGGTCGAGCAAGTTATTTGCTTGGATTAGCAGAAGAATTGCCCGATTTTATTGTAAAGCGTATCCGGCTTCTTGAACTAAGAATCAATCAAGCTCCCCTAACTCTCGAAAAAAGAAAGAAAGAAAAATACGAAATGTCTTCTTTTTTCTTTTGGTTTGCCCTATCGATGAATTCTGAATGCGGGCACTTTCAGTGATCTATCGATTCTAACATAATCCATAAGTTTTAGCGCCTTGTTTTGCTTCCACTCTAGCTTCTGTTTCCATCATTTCTTAAACGTCTTTTCATTCTACGATACATCCTTCAACGTTACATGAGGTTATGATCTTGTGACTGCTGTAGACGTTTCCAGCAAAAGCCATGCATAATCATTATCCGCACCTTTGCTCCAATTCAGATAGATATCATTTGAAAATTTGGAAGCACATCGACAATTCCAAGAAGAATCGTATGCTAATGCTTTGTAATAAAAACGTTAAGTTCAATGCTAACTGTGTAAGAACCGATAGTGTGTCGGGAAGCTCTCTTTCCTAGTGTTTGAGCTCATATCGACGTATGACAATTTCTCGACATGCTCTTCGATTCAAAACACATGTGAGACCTTATTGAAAACTTGAATAGCATATTTACTTTGGCATAAGTTATTAGTTCTTATTCAGCTGATTTATGATTGTTCAAGTAAATATAATATATTTTTGCGTAATATTTTCTGCCGACTTTCTGCTCATCTTTGGCAAAAGTTATTACCACTAGCAGAAATTTTTCATGATGGAAACATTTCTTCGTTCAATCTTCTGTCTCAAGACGCATTAACAATACATTGCATTAGGCTGTCCTACGTTTATTGCAAGTTCTTCTTATCTCTTCTTAATCAAATTTTAAGAAAAAAAATTCGATTTATCAATAGAAGTTTCCTCTTAGTTTCTATTGCTCTGTGTGTGAACTATAATCATTCGAAAGTTGTGCCTTCAAAGAGCAAGAGGCCAGTGTGAGTGCTTTACTCTCTCCCTTGCTCACAATTCATAGGAGTCAGCTTTTTGGAAAAAAACAATGGGCTTCCGGGGAAATTTTAAGCTGAAAAATTTGGCGAACTCAAAGTTCAGCTCGGTCAAGCGTTTCCGTACCGCACGTTTTTTGAGCAGAACGTTTGCAGATTTTTATTTTGAGCAGCAAGGTAAAACATGAAAGACTTAGTGAGAAAAGAACGAGAAGCTTACTCACTTTCCAGCTGCTAGAAATCCAATTTTTCAAAGAATGACAACTTTTCGCCTTCAAAGGGCCAGAGAAAGTGGCTATCTTGGATTTC